TTTTTTTTTTTTATGTTTGTTTTTTTTTTTTTTTTTGTTGGTTATTTTTGTTATTTTTTTTTATTTTTTTGTTTTTTTTTTTTCAGTTTTTTTTTTTTTTTTTTATAGTTTTAGTTTTTTTTTTTTTTTTTTTGAACTTTTGAATTTTAATTTTTTAGAACTTTTTGTTTTGTACATATATCACACTCAAAACAATAAGAATGCACTTTGAATTTTATATTATAGTTGTTTTCAAAAATTTATAAAAACATCAAACAAAACAAGTTGTATTTTTTGCAAAAGTAAAATATGAAAACAACTTGAAAATAGCAAATAAAATGCACCATAAACTTTTGGTTCATGTTTATATGTAGCATTGGATAGCCATAAACAAAATTAATTAAGAAAAAAAAGCTATTTGTTCATGACAAAATGGAGTCCCGTCCAGTATATGTTTCTTACCAAATGTGTTGATCGACAATGAAACAATTTATTTACTTATTTTCAATAATTACATGCAAGCATGGTGTATACTCATTTCTGTTTGGTATAGATGAAAATCAAATTTTTTATAGATTTTAATAAAAGTAGATAAAATGTGTATTTAAAAAATTTTAGGCCCACGAAATATGTGAATAAAATTAATTGTTGATTTTGACTTAATAAAAACCCTGATTTTAATCAATACCAAGCAAAGGCGAAAAGACAGAAATGTTGACTGATAAAAATAAAAGCAATGTTCGTATCAAACTTTTGTAACTTCAAAGCTATCTTCACTTTGTGGTGGAGCCATGGCCTTTTCAATCTGATACTGATACAACTTCCCAACAAAATTTTCCAATTCCATGTCCGGCTACAGTGGCCAGAAAAAAACATGAAATCGGAGGCGATGACCGCTACAATGGTCAATGTTTTTGCGCGGGTAGTCGCTAACAATTAAAAAGAAATTCAAACGATTGTGTAAGGGACAAACATCTTGAGATGAAGTCCCAAAAAGGGGTGTTTTATTGATGAGAGTTACAATTGGAATTAAACAGAATGCCTCTAAGGGGCGCAAGCACACGAGTACTGAAAAAAAGTTAATTAAAGTTAATCTAAAAAATTAAAATTACATATTCTCTGTTTGATAGTGTTTGATTCAGGGTCATTCCTCTATATCTATTATTTCCTTTTATACTCTTATGACGGCTTCTGCGTTACAAACCGCTTGGAAACTGTTACCCATTTTTTCATGGTGCCTAATTTGTCGTGGAATGCCATCTCTAACTGTTGCAATTACTTTTCGTTGTTCAATTGCTT